CACACACACACACACACACGCACGCACACATGCACACACACACAAGCATGCACACACAAATACCTTTCATCTAGTAATTTTTGAAAAGAGGAGTCTTACCTGAGGATGAGCACTGCCGTCTGGAACCCCGCTTGTCTCAAATAGGGTACTGACCAACACCCCTTCTCCCTCGAAGTTTGAGTTCCCTCCTTGGGGGGGTGGGCCCAGGGGAATTCGCAGGGTCTTTGCTTCTTGCTCTGCTTGGGCTGGAACGGCACATTCTCCTGCACGGAACTGGGAATTCCAATCAACAGCTTCTGCTTTGGCATGAGGACCGTCTCTTTTATCACTCTGGGCTAATGGGCGCTTAACAGGCTCTTTGGGATAGAGGAGATTAAGGGTGGCCTCTGTTGTGCTTTCTTTCAAGTTGGGGCTCAGCTTCTTGGGTTCCCCTTTGGTTTCTGGCCGCCTCACCCCGGCAGGTATCTCGGAGCCCCTCTTGCTCAATGAAACCTCGTCCCCTACTTTTTTCTCGGCTGCAATCTCCAACCACTGGTCCACCCCTGAGTTTTCTAACTCACCAGACAGACGCTTCATCGCCGTCTCTGTCACCGCTTTATCCATGTTTAGCAGATTGTCACTGGTGAATTCCTCTCCTGCTTGGTGGCTGTCTCTGGTTTCTCTTCGAATTCCTGGATAATCATTTTCAGCAGCCTCAGAAGCAGTGGGTAGTTTACATCTCGCCTGGTCTGTCACTGTAGACGTTACATCCCGGTGAGGCCCCAAGGTCAGAATCATCCCCGTTTGCAGGGATGAGGGACTGTGAGTGGAGGCTTGGCTGCTCCTCACCCCTACTTCTTGGGGTTGTGAGTGATTACCGCAGAAGCCACTGGTGGCATCCATAGGCTCCATGTCATCTGACACCCGAGGCCCACAACCCATTTCACTGAGGAAATGCTCACGCCCACCCGGGCCACACGAACCGAATTCCATCCCTTCGTCGTTGCTTTCTAATAAAAAAACCTGCCCAGTCCCCTGCAGGTCCCTTTGCCAAACTGCATTAGAGTAATCCGTCATAACGTCGGAACATTCCAGATACTCTAGGTCATCATCTGAAAACTCCTCGGTGCAGGTTAGGGTTATCTCTGGGCAAAGTTCATAGTCGCTGTCAGAGTCTTCGCTGGACACCTGTGGGCTGCCTTGCTGCTGAATCGTGGCCCTGTCACCTGGGCCATCGGATGTGGCCGCCACCGCCAGCGGTAGGCTGAAGCTAATGTATTTCTGCACTCTGGGATTCGGATGACCAGACTTTAAGACGTCCTCAAGAGGGCCATCACTGTTTAAGGCCCCATCCACTGGCCTTGATCCTTTGGAATGCACTGCCCTGTGGCAATACACATGTTGCTTATCGGGAATATTACTTGATTTAGAAGAAAGCCACCAATCCGCAACTTCCTCTGTGCTATCCAGATCACGAGCCTCTTCGGTTCGCCTTGCTCCTTTAACATCCAAGGGATTTTCAGAACCGGAGGCACCAGTGTCATTATTGGCCAATAACCGGAGCGAGCTTGAACAGCCGAATTTGGAGGACGGGGAGTCAGCTGACATGGAACTACCTGAGGGGACACTTTCTTCGCCCCTACGAGGATGTTCTTTCTCATCAAGCTGGTTTGCTTCTTCCTGCATGCTTGACTCTGTTGCATGTTTCCAACCCGTGTCCCCGCCATCTTTGGGGTTAGGGGAGAGCTGTGGGTTCTCTGCTGAGCACTTGACTTCAATGGAAGCAGAACAGCAGATCATTCCAGAACAGTTTTTAGCAGAGATCTGATAAACAGCGGTGTCATCTGGGGTACAGCTAGGATGAAGAAAACACACTTGGTAAGTTGGCCGTGTTTGGATGGGCATGCCAACATTCCTCACATCATGGCACAGAAAATGACCATGGTTTTTTGCTGCACACTCAAGGAGATCTGTGATCTCCCTGGAAAGGGGCTTGTGGTCAGAGTCAGCCAGCTTCTGAGTCCCAGCTGCCCTGGAGCTGAGAATCCAGGAAGCCCGGCATTTTCCGTTAAGACCTTCCCCAGTCTTACCCCAACTTGAAAAATGATGACAATTATTCAGACAAATGGGGAAACATCTCACACTCTAATTTCTCCTTCTCTCCTTTTATTTTGAGTCCTTTTTACACTATAGGAATTTGAAAAGGCATTATTTTCTAGAGTGAGACATTGTACACAAGTAACTGAAGTATTCGACCTCAGGCAGTGGACAGCATAAGCAGTAACTGTTTTTAAGACCATGCTAAGAAGGCATGGTTCTTTTTTTTTTTTTTAATTTTTTTTTAATCTTTATTTATTTTTGAGA